TGTGAGTGTGTTTCGGGAACTGATATCTGTGAGTGTGTTTCGGGAACTGATATTTGTGAGTGTGTTTCAGGAACTGATATCTGTGAGTGTGTTTCAGGGACTTTTGGTGATATGAGCTCTATCAGGTGCTTTTATAGAAATGGTTAAATGTATTTGGGAAAGGAATTAGTTTCTACTAGAAATGTCACCGGGAGCTTAAAGCTGCTTAATGCTTGTGTTCATTCATCCCAGAAATAAAATGAATTTCTTCAGATTCTGGAACTGTGTTCAAATAAAAACAAAATATTGTCATGAATAAGAAATCTAAAGGAAAAGACTTCAACTGTCCCTTTTACTGTCGATGTCAGGATGTTGATCTGTCTCTCTCTCTCTCTCTCTCTCTCTCTCTCTGGACGCTATGTTGCCGTGTGCTCGCTCTAAACGGAGCGGTCTGTTTTTATATTTTAATACATAACAGCTTTGATGATGTCTGATGGGTCATTTCTCTCTCTCAAGTTTCTCCAGTCGCCTCCTTCCATCGCTCCATCTGCTTCTTTTCTTGTTTACACCGACTCCCTTCATCCTGCTCCCAGCAGCTATAACAGATCTGATGTCATGGTTGCCATGGCAGCCGTGTGACGACTGGGACGGTTGACTCGGCCCGCTCGTCCAGTGGCAGCGAGGTGGAGACAAAATGAACAAATACCACTGAGTTAAAACAATCTGCTGCTCTGTGCTGAGCTCACACATCCTGCAGCCCAGCATCACACCAGCTCACACGGGCCAGTCTATGTTTAACGGAGCGTGGAGCTTTGTTCTGAACTCACTGACGTTAAAGCTCACATCTGGATCTGTAACACGTCAAAGAGGCTTTACAGCTCTGATCTGAGGTCAACACACCGGTGCAGTGTTAGTAACACACATAACAAACACACACACACACACGTTGTTATGATGTGTAACCCGAGGTGTGTGGTTGTTGAATTATTGACTGATGGCCTGATGGTTGGTTAATTTATCCCTCGACTGTTTTCTTCTTGCTCTGTCTGGTTCAGTGGTTCAGTGGAGCTGTCACACAACTGTGGTGTGGAGGTGTTCAGTGCACAAACTAAATTCTTTTCTCTTTTGGAGAAATATCATTTCAAATGATGAGGTTATGAGTTCCACGATCCTGCAGATTGAGTGTCGAGTCCAGGATTTGTTACTTTGCTGTTCTGAAGGTACAACTAGTGTACACACAAGTAGACATGGATCACGTGTATTTCTGTATTTGTATTTTCTGCAGGTTGCAGGAATAAAACCACGTTTGTTATTGTTAATTAAAACTTTCTTCTCTCCCTGTAGGTGTGGCTCCAGAGTCCTGTCTTGTTTTCCTCCTCTCACCTGTTCCCTCGTTATCCTGGTCCTCTCTCTTCCTCTCTCTTCCTCTCTCTCTCCCTTCCTCTCTCTCTTCCTCTCTCTCTCTCTGTGTGATGCCGGGCCGTGGGTTGAGTGAACGCCCGTGACCAGACTGAAGCTGGGGAAGCTAAAGGTGGTGCGGCGGCAGCTGCTGCAAAGGTACAGAACATTTCACCTTCACCTCGGGTCACTGACGGCAGTTACACAATAATAACTGAAAATCCAGAATCATTCACCTCTGAATCCTCCACCTTGTTCATTTTGTCCATCAGGTAATATTTTGTTTAAAGAGCAGTTTTTAGTCTGGTGTTCATTAAATTGTCTGATTTCTTAATTCTAATATCAGGTATGAACACCAGCCGTTTGTCTCCTGTCTGGCCGGCCTCTACGGTTGCCAATGGAGACGATACCAAAGAGTCTGGGTGCAACCAGGAGAGTGCTGCTGCAGCAAGGTACACACACACACACACACACACACACACACACACACACACTGACACAAACAAACAACGCACCACAGAGTGTGTTGAGTTTGCTGATCGTGCACAGGTTTGATTCCCTGACCAGTTTTCCTCTCTCTGCTGACTCCACTGCCTCTGTCTGAAAATCTATCACTTCCAGTATATCAGTGTTTCCCCTGTCAGCTGATATCAAAATATTCTGCTTCCGTACGCACCTCGGATACGACCGACTCCTGCTGCATCCGCCAGATTGTGAAGAATCAGCAGCACGATGATAAAGAGCTAAAAGCTTTAAAGTTTAAAAACAGGTTCATTATGTGTCTTCATCTTATGTTGTCACTCACTCTCTGTTTTATCTTCACAATCCCAAGAGCAGGTTCTCATGTTCCTCATAAAAGACACCACATCCTCCTTCTGTGTGTGTGTGTGTGTGTGTGTGTGTGTTTGTGTGTGTCTGTGTGTGTGTTACAGGTGGAGTGTGGCAGTTTTGGCCTCCTGATCCTCACCTTCTTCCTGAGTTTTGTGTTCCTCTATTTCTGGAGTGAAGCTCAGAACGACTACAACGACTTTGACTGGTGAGACACACACACACACACACACACACACACACACACACACACACACACACACACACACACACACACGCACCATGTAGTTTA